GCTGGACAGGGCCGTGGTGCGGGGCCAGGAGCTGGGCGCCCGGCTGGAGTGTCTGCAGCGGGAGTTGGAACAGGCCGCTCTGGAGAGGCAGGGCTGGCTTCAGGAGCAGGAGTGCCAGCACCAGAGGTGCGCAGTGCTGGGCGGGAGGCAGGGGTGGCAGGGGAGCGGGGGGGAGGAGGGGGCTGCGGGTACCAAGGCTGCTCCTGGCAGGTACCAGGGGCTGGAGCAGCGGCTGGAAGCGGAGCTGCAGGCAGCTGCCACCAGCAAGGAGGAGGCGCTGATGGAGCTCAAGGCCAGGGCTCAGCAGTTGGAGCAGGAGCTCTTCCAGGTGAGCTGCTGGCCCTGGCCACGCGGGGGCTTCTCCCCCTCCCCCGCCCACCAACTGTCCTTCCAGGCCACCCCCTTGGGCTTTGCGCCTGGATTCTCCTGGCCTCCGTATGGGCCGGGAGCAACTATGCTTGAGTCAGGAGGCTGCGTGGTGCTGCTGGGCTGCTCAGGCCGTGTGCTTTGAAGTCCCTGCGGGCTTCGACCCCCTCCCCCGCTTGTCAGAACCCTGCAGCCCCTGCTATGGGGCCCACTGTGTATTTCTTGTGCTGGAGCCATGTCTCCTAATGGTCACTGTAAGGCAGGAGATAAAGTAACGAGCACTGTGTGTGCCGAGGGGGCCCAGGGCTCAGGCCGTGTGCGTGTGTATGTTTGGCAAGTGCAGGCCATTGTCCTGGAGCTCATGGTGTAGTTAGGATAAAGACAGTGGTGGAGAGGGCAGTGACAGACTGTTGGGGGACCCCTCAGGGCTCCCGGTAGAGGGGTGGGGTAGGGCAGGCCTGCTGGATAAAGCGATGTCTAGACGGGGGCTCAGAGGAAGAGGGGGGCGGGGGCAGCATTCTCTGCTGAAGAACCAGCACAGGCAATGGCAAGGGTTTCCGCCAAGCCCGGCCGCGGAGGTCAGAAATATGGAGATTGCCAGCAGCCGCTGACGCTGCACCAAAAGTAAGGCCGTGGGCCCTCGGGGAAGGCATGCGGTGCAGGTGCTGGGCAGTGCCTGATGCTGCTGGAGGGTTAAGGGCTCACCGATGTTGGCTCCTGTGCCATCCCTGCCACCACGTCCTCCTGTGAACTCCGAGGGCTTCCCCCCTTGCAGCTTCGCCAGGGCCCCGAGAGACAGCTGGCCAGGGAGCAGGCTGGACCTCAGACCCTGGAGACCCAGAGTAACCGGCTTATTGAAGTGGAGCGAAGTGTGAGTGTGGGCTGGGGGTGGGCCTGGGTGGTGGTGGTGGTCCGGTCAGCCGGCCTCTGCCAACCCTGCCCCTCCTGCAGAACGCAGCGTTGGCGGCTGAGAAGGAGGCACTTCGGGGCCAGCTCCAGCACCTGGAGGGGCAGCTGGGCAGCATGCAGGGGCGGGCCCAGGAGCTCCTTCTGCAGAGTCAGCGTGCACAGGAGCACAGCGGGCGCCTGCAGGTGGGCACCCCCCCACGCTCACCCCCGCCTGGGGCCCCTGCTCACTCACTGCCACCCCACCCACTTTAATTATTATGTTGTGCCTCCCCAATTAACTCCCTGCCAGCAGCCCCTGATGCTTACCGTCAATCCCCAGTCACCCCGTTCTGCACCCCTTCTCCCTGCCCACGTCACCCTGTCCCTGGCCAGCCCAGCCCCCACTTTGGGGCCCCCTTTTGGTGTCCCTAGCTCTCTCCTTGCACAGTCAGCCATTAGGCTCTCCTCGGTGCCCCCAGCTCCTACCCCCAGCTCACCTGTTCCATCTCTGACTTTGACTTCTTGTCTGCTTCTCCAAGGCCTGGTGCCAGCATGGGCCTCCCTGACAGCCCTGCCTCCCCCCGCCCTCTGCCCTCAGCATCCCTGCCCCGTCCCCTCTGATCACCACCCTCTCTGTCCCAGGCTGAGAAGGCCACGCTGGAGCGGCAGGGCCAGGAGCTGCACCGGAGGCTCGGGCTGCTGGAGGAAGAGGTGCAGGCCGCCCGGCGGTCCCAGGAGGAGACGCGTGGGCAGCAGCAGGCCCTGCTGCGGGACCATGAGGCGCTGGCCCAGCTGCAGCGGCGGCAGGAGGCTGAGCTGGAAGGGCTGCTGGCCCGGCACCGAGACCTCAAGGCCAACATGCGGGCACTGGAGCTGGCCCACCGTGAGCTGCAGGGCCGGTGAGCCAGCGCCCAGCCCCCATTTCCCCCCTCCTCCGTCCATCCCACTGCCCACATGTCTCCACCCCCGGACCCCTCCACAGTACCCCTGCCATGTCCCTGCCCATCCACCTCCCCTTAGTTTTATGATCAGTGTACCCAGACATAAAGGGGGGGGGGCAGCGAGAAAGAGGAAGGCCCTCCCCCAGGTGGATGGACACACGGACTGCAGTGCAGTGGCTCAGACCTAGGAACAGCTCTGAGGAAGGCGTGGACGGGGCGGTGTTTTGCTCTGTGTGCATAAGGCCGCTATGGGTTGGAGCTGATGCCATGGAAACCACTGCTGTTGAGTGGACCTTGATCCTCGAGGCTGCCAACTTTACGGGAGCAGGTTGCCACATCGTCCTCCCTCCCACCGAGTGGCTGGCGGGCTCAAACCGCTGATGTTGTGCTTAGGGTTCTGGGCCACAGGGCTCCTCCTCCCGTTCACTGCAAGTCCGTATGAGCTCCCCACCCTTCAGAAAAAAAAAATCCAAGTCACTTTTTCATCTGTACAATAAAAGACATAGATGAATACTAGAGGGATGTTTGCCTGCTCCGGAGCTCACCTGCAGAGGGGGTTCTCTAGGGCACCCCAGATTCCTGAGTCCCCTTGCCGGGTAGGAAAGCACACCAGACAGCAGAGGCCCCTTTGCTGGAGGCCAGGCACCCCAGCTGCTGTGGCACTCCCCATACTTCCAGAGTGGGTTCCTCCTGGGGCGTGGGGCAGTGGTGGCTTTACCAGGTAGGGAGCCCTCTCAGCATTCCCCGCTTCCCGCCACCACCCGCCTCCCCCAGGCACGAGCAGCTGCAGGCGCAGCGGGCCAACCTGGAGGCGCAGGAGCTGGCGCTGCTGGCCGAGCGGGAGCGCCTCATGCAGGACGGGCACCGGCAGCGGGGCCTGGAGGAGGAGCTGCGGCGCTTGCAGAGCGAGCATGACAGGTGCCAATCGGGGGGCTCAGGGGGCTCGCCTGGACAGTGGCTCCGGTCCCTGCCCCTGCGGGGTCCGGCGTCGCGTCGCCCCCTCTCCCTGGCCCTTGGACAGCAGCTTGCGCCCCTTGGGCTTCTGCAGAGCCCAGCTGCTGCTGGCGGAGGTGTCGCGGGAGCGCGGGGAGCTGCAGGGCGAACGCGGGGAGCTACGGGGCCGCCTGGCCCGGCTGGAGCTGGAGCGGGCGCAGCTCGAGGCGCAGAGCCAGCGACTGCGCGAGTCCAACCAGCAGCTGGACTTGAACGCCTGCAGGCTGACCACGCAGTGTGAGGTGTGTGGGGCCCGGGCCTGGGCTGGCGGGGTGGCAGCACAGTCTGGGCCCTGCGCCTACCGCCTTGACCTATCCCGCTGCCGCCTATGCCAGCTGCTGACCCAGCTGCGGAGCGCCCAGGAGGAGGAGAACCGGCAGCTGCTGGCGGAGGTGCAAGCCCTGAGCCGGGAGAACCGGGGGCTTCTGGAACGTAGCCTAGAGAGCCGGGACCACCTGCACCGGGAGCAACGAGAGTACCTGTGAGCACCCTGGGGGTGCCCGAGAGGGTCCTGAAGGCACTCTGGCTGGGGAGAGCCTCAGGGAGGTTCCGGCAAGAGGGCTGGGCTGCCCAGGGTGCCTGGCTGTACCGTGTGTACCTGCCAACACCCGGGAGCCCCCAGCCTCGTGTCCACCCTGCCAGAGTCCAGCTGAATGCCCTGCGCCGGGAGAAGCAGAAACTGGTGGAGAAGATCATGGATCAGTACCGAGTGTTGGAGCCTGGGCCCCTGCCCCGGACCAAGTGAGCAGCCCCCACTCCCAAGGCCAGGGCCTCTTTTTACCCCACCCCCCTGCCTGCTCTCTGACCCCCAGCTCAGGGTCAGCCCCAGTGAGGGTTCCCCTGGCCTTGGTCTCCCCTCCACCCCCCCAACCCTCATGGACCACCTTTCCCATCTTCTACCTCATTCTTATCACCTCTCGTGCCCTCTTGCCCCCAGGAAGGGCAGCTGGCTGGCAGACAAGGTGAAGAGGCTGATGCGACCCCGGCGGGAGGGGGGCCCCCACATGGGGCCACGCCTGGGGGCCGATGGGACTGGCAACCCCCTGATCCTGGGGGGCCCCCTGGAGACGGAGCTCCCCGAGGGCAGGGAGGCAGACGGGACAGGTGGGTCTGGGAGCTAGGTGACCAGGATGGTCACTAACCTGTGTCTTCCTGCCCCTACCTGCCTCTTGCCTCTGTCTGCTCTTTCCTGTCACCTGCCCGGGCATCTTCAGTACCCTTTGTCTGGGGCCTCCTGGTTGCACTGCCCACCTGCCCCGGCCTACCCTGTTTTTAGTGGTGGCTGGGGCCTCTGAGAAGGGGTGAGCTCTAGGGAGAGGCCATTTACCCCAGGCAGCAGGTGAGGAAACAGAGGCCAAGAGAGTGCCTGGCCAGTCACATGGTCACATGGCTAGTGAGTGCCAGGGCCAGGGCAGGGCCCAGCCTCTGCATGGTGAGGGCACCACACTGATTCCTGTAACTTTCTGCTAGATCGCTGGCCCTGCAGCCGCCTCTCCACTCCTCCTGGAGGCCACCCTGGACCATGCCTGCACTCTCCTGACCTCTCCTGTTGGGTGCTTTTACAGGACTCCCCTCCCCAGCACCCATTCGCCGGGCACAGAGTTCCCTGTGCCTTGGGGATGTGGCCGGTGGACAGCGCCGAAAACTCAGTTCCAGGTTCCCTATTGGACGAAGCTCTGAGTCGTTCAGCCCAGGGGACACCCCCAGGCAGCGATTCCGCCAGCGAAGGCCAGGCCCCCTGGGGGCACCGAGTCCCCAGGGCAAAGGTAGGGAACCAGGGGTCCAGCTCGCTGCTGGCCCCCCACTATCTCCTTGGGGGAGGGCAGCTTCCTTCCTGCTCTGTGTCTTTTCACAAGCCCCACCCACTTACACCCTGGTCCCAATGGCCCAGTGGCTACCTTGTGTGCCCCCCATCCCCCACAGGACCAGGTATGGAATGGGATGGCTCTGTCGAGACCCTGGCGGAGCACGAAGCCAACGTCAGCGGAGAGGGTGAGTGGGGGCTGGAAGGAGAAAACTCAACCTAAACCCACCCAGAAACACTCACTGCCACCCAGTGGATTCCAAGTCACAGGGGCTTATAGGACAGGGTAGATCTGCCCCCGGGGGCTTCCAAGACTGGAACGCTGTTCGTCTGGGTAGACTAGAGAAACGAAATTCATAGACACTCAATTTGTGTATAAGAAAGAGCTTTATGTACAAGAGCAATTGAATAGTGAGAAAACATCCCAGACCAGTGCAGATCAAGTCCGTACGTCCGATATCAGCCCCTATGTTCGATACCAATCCACAAAGTCCTCTTCAGACTCATGAAGCACATGCAATGACACCGAATGCAGGAAGATCACAGGCCAGTGGGTGGGAAGTCTTGTGGATCCAGTGGCGTTGTAAGCATCTCAGCGCTGGCAGAGGTCTCCACGGGGCTTCTCCAGCTCCCAGGGCTCTGGCTGCATCAGGGTAGCTTCATGTGGCTTCTCGTCAGGAATGTCTCCCTGGCTGTGCTCCGGTGTCCCACCTCCAGAGAGCTATTTATCTCCGTAGTGCCTCCAAATGAGGTCATCAAGCTATGACCCGATTGACAGGCTAGACTCCACACCTTTACTCTGAATCCTCAAATTGACAACAGATTATGTAGCTACCACAAATTCCTTACCAGTGCAGAAAGCCTCGTCTTTCTCCTGACGAGCAGCTGGTGGTTTCAAACTGTCAGTCTTATGGTTACAAGCCCAATGGCTCTTGGGGGGCCGGAGGGGGGTGGGTTATTCACTAGGCCCGGGGCACCTGAGAGACCTAGCCCATCAATTTGCTTATCTGACAAATAAGCAAATGGATGAAGCTTTACTACATGCCAGTCCTGGTGCTAGCTACCTCCTGGTAGGGGCGGGAAGGCAGTAAGCCAACAGGAGCCACGTGGCACCATTGTCAGTGCGAGAAGGGGCTGGTGAAGTTCATTCCCACGACCTGTGCTGCTCTTAGGCTCGCTGGTGGTGCCATGGGGTAGGGCTGGGTTGGCTCGGGGAGGTGGTAGTGAGTTAGCATGGACTCGACGGCAGTGAGTTTGGGTTTTGTTTCTTTAACTCGGTATGCCTCTGCTGTTGTCTCAACAAGTAGTCAGTGTACCGAGCTTTGGCACGAGCTGAATGGCATCACGTTCAAGGCCTGAGGCCCGGCAGTCACCCGTCTGCCCTCTCAGTTGATTTCAGTTCTGAGGGCAGCATTTCAGGGGCTCGGTAGTCCAGCACTGGGCAGCACTACTCTGAAATATTGCCGCTCAAATGAAACAGAACGAACTCATTGCCATCGGGTCGGTCCTGACTCACGGCGACCCTACAGCACGGGGTATTCTCAGAACTGCCCCTGTGAGCTTCTGAGACTCTCTTTTAAATGAAAAGACCATTGTATTGGGGGCTCTTACAGCTCATAATAATCCATGCATCAATTGTACCAAGCATATCTGTACATATGTTGCCATCATCATTTTCTAAACATTTACTCCTACTGCGCCCTTATTATCAGTCCTGAGACTGTAAGTCTTGACGGAAGTAGAAAACCTGGTCTTTCTTCTGCAGAGCTGCTGGTGGTTTTGAACTACAGACCTGGCATCTAGCAGCCCAACGAGTAAACCCACTATCCCACCAGGGTTCTTTCATTGTCCCTAAGGGTCCCAAATGGCAACTCCACATGACCCAGGAGCTCTGTCCCACAGGATTTTCTCGGCAGCAAGCTTTCTGGGCAGGAGGTCCTGGTGTCGAGGTGGTTAAACTCAGCGGCCAGCTGGAAGGCTGACGTTTGCACCAGCCACTGGCTCGGTGGGACAAAGACCTGGTGGTCTCCGGGGAAGTCCTGCTCTGTCCTGAAGGGCTGCCACAAGTCAGCAACGCCTGGAGGGCAGTGGGGCTTCTCCCCGGAGGATTTGCTGGGTGGGTTGAAGTCGTCAAGCTCCAAGTCAAGCTGCCAGGCGGGCAACTGAGCACCCTGTATGCCACCAGGGCTCCTGGCTTAGAATATTCGCAGGTGGTAAAGGGCTGGGAGAAAAGGGGAGAGCGAGGGGGAGGGGGTTTTAGGGGTGAGCCTCACAGCAGAGGTGGCAGATTGGAGGGGGGCAGCGGAGTGAGAGTTTCAGGCCTTATTTTTGTGTCTGGGAACAGCATTCCAGGCAAGGAGTGGCAGCCTGCATTTGATCTGGGGACAGGGAGTGGGGGAGAGTGGAGGACGGTGGTTGGGGGTGAGGTGGGGTGGGGAGCTAGGGCAGGCCTGCGGAGGCCTGTGGAGAGGGTCCTTCTTTGTGAGGGGGCCTGAGCTGAGCCTTTCCTTGCAGGGCCTGAGGAGCCGGAACCAGAGAAACGCCCCCTCGCCGCTTCCCTCAGTCAGTGACATGGCATGGCTGGGGACCACTTCAGCATTACCCTCTCGCCGCTGGAGTGTTGGTGGCACCTCCCGCCAGCCCAAGAGCTTGGGCAGCCTGGGTGCCCAAGGGGAGTCCGTGTCCAGGGAGGCGCTAAAGCAGAGCTGGGACAACCTTGGAGACCAGGGACATGGCCATCTCTTGAGAGCTTGCCAGGGTCCCCGCTCAGTCCCTGGGCCATCCTCTCTGAGGAGGCGGTCTTCTGCCCGGTCCCGGCGAGGGGCAGATTACCACTCGCAGGGGTTACCTGTGCCCCGGGTTCACTTTGGAGCTGGGACGGCAGGGGTGTGAGAATAAAGTGGGGTGGAGAATAAAGTGTCCTGTCTTCTGACTGTGCAGAGGGTGGCCCAGGCTAGGAGGGGTCAGCAGAGGGCATTCACTAGGGGAGACCAGCCTTAGATGGGCCCAGCTGGGCTTGCCGGGGCCTAAATGTCCCAGTGGGAGGTGAGGGGGACATTCTGGGTAGCAGGTGGCAAGTCTCCGACAGTTGGTGAGACCCGAGGCTTCGGCCCTGCCTCTTTCTAAAAGGCAGGGGTCTGTCAGCCCCAGTGACCCTGCCCTGCCCCTTCCAGGCTACCCTCTCTCACTTCAGTCTCCCCACATTTGCATCCTCTCTCCCCTAGCCCTGTGGGGCTCTAGCCCCTCCCCAAGGAGCTCACAGCCTGGTGAGGTGCCAGTTAGTGCCACAGGCTACTGTGTGGGGGTGTGGGAGGGGTGTGGGGGTGGAGGACCCAGGAGTTGGGAGGAACCCAGGGCCCAGAAGACACCAGGGAAGGAGGGCAGTTAGGCTGGGTAGCCAGGGGTGACTCTGGGACTTTCACTGAGCGGAAGCAGTCTGGCCTTGGCCTCTGGCTGCTCTTGAACCTGGGGTGGACAGTCAGTGAGGGTGGGTTGGCAAGGGCAGTCCTCCCGCCCTCCCAAGGTGATCACTTTGGGGAACTCTCAGCTTTTCCCTTTTGGGTGGAGGGGGGCGGGCAGTGAGTGTGGTGAACTCTCCTGGAATCCAGCTGGGCTGAGGAGCAGAACCCCTCTCCCACTGCAGTCTTTCCTGTGGGGGCTTCCAGTTGCCAGGGAGGAGAGACCAGGGAGCTGCTTGCCTCTGAAGGCTACCCAGGGGTTCTGGTCTAGTGGAGAAAGGGGCCTATCTTGTGAGTCTTTCACCCATCTAGTGGGCTACATGTTGGGCTGTTAACAAGGTCAGCAGTTTAAATCCACTAGTCACTCCTTGGGTAGGAGATGAGGCTGTCTGCTCCTGTCAAGACTGACAGCCTTGGAGACTCACAGGGGCAGTTCTACTCTGTCCTCTGAGAAAGGAATCCACTCGATGACTGTGAGTTTTGGAGTTTTATCTGGTCCCTAAGGAGCTCTGGAGGAACCCAGCCATTCAAATCCGCCAGCTGCTGTGTGGGAGATAGATGAGGCTTTCTACTCCCCTAAAGAGTTACAGTCTAGGGGACCCACAGGAGCAGTCCCACTGTCCTGTAGGGATGGCTGTCCGCATTGACTTGATGGCAGTGAGTTTTTGAAGGAGCCCTGGGGGGCGCTGCTGAGTAAGCATTGGACTAACAAGCTAGCAGGAAGGTCTCACTAGCCACTACCAGGATGAAAGAAGAGGATTTCTGCTCCGGTAAAGTTCTGCAGCCTCAGAGGGTCGCTATGAGTCGGCAGGGACCCTCTGATGTGTGTTTGCGTTCTGGACCCTGGGCTGGGTGCTTGAAGTGTGTGCCGCACTGGGAGGGCTTCTGAGGGGGTGGGGCAGAAGCTCACCTGCCTGTCCACTCCGAGAAGGGATGCAAGGCACTCAGGCAGCCACACTGGGCTCCCTCTGGGGACACGGAGGAATGATGGCTGGTGCCTAGAGACAGGGCTTGGCCCTGGGGGGAGGCAAAGGTCCCCACATGTCTGCAGAGGCAAGTCCACAAGAGAGCAGGTCTTGGATGTTTGTCTGGGAGGTGCAGGTTGGGAGCTGGGGTCTGGTGGTCCCACTGACCATGGGCTGGGTAGGGCTGCCGGTGCTCTGGGTGGCGGTCAAGCTGAGTCAGAGGTGCAGGGCTGAGCAGCTGTGTTGGATGAAGGTGGCTATGTCAAGGGGTTACACAGAGCCCCCCATCGTCCCTCTTGTTGAGGCCATGTGGTCACTGAGGGAGGGAGGGAGGGGGCTGCTTTTGCTGTGGCCTAACCAAGTCCGGTGGTCACTACGAGGTTGCCCTCCGGCTGTACTCTGGAAGGGATGGCGCTAGAATACCTCCCAGACCCGCCTCCCTTGAGGCACAGGGTCTAGGTGTCCAGGGCCCAGGCATCAGCAGGCCTCCTGGCACAGGCAACCCCAATAGAGGCTCCTGGTTATCTGGGACTCCAGGTGTGGCTCCCCAAGGGGGTCTCAGATTCCTCTGGAGGGTTGCAAGCCCCCCTCCCCACCCCACCCAGATGGACAACCCTGACACCTGCCCCCACGCAGGGAGACAGGGCCGCCCCCGCCCACTGCAGCCCGGCACTGGCTGTCACGTTCCAGCCGCCTGACTCAGGCAGCCTCCGGGCGGGGAGCTGAGAGGCGGCGCCCGCCTGGGGCCGGAGGCGGCACCAGGAAGCGCCCGCCCCGACCCGAGCCGCCATGTAACCGGCGCCGCCCGGAGCCCGAGCAGTGCGGGCCCAGCCACCCGCCCGCCATGGGGGACGAGGACGAGGACGAGAGCTGTGCGGTGGAGCTGCGGATCACAGAAGGTGGGGCGGGAGCCGAAAGGGACGCCGGGTGGCTGTCGCGGGGCGGGGGCGCGGAGGGCGAGCTGGGAGGGGCGCGATCGGCGCACTGATTCGTCCCTTTGCCCACAGCCAACCTCACCGGGCATGAGGAGAAGGTGAGCGTGGAGAACTTCGAGCTGCTGAAGGTGCTGGGCACGGGAGGTGAGGACCCCCGACCCCTGGGCAGGTGTCCCAGGCTCCGTGCCCCTGGGCGTGCTGGGCCACAAACCTGCCCGGCCGCGGCCAGGCCACCAGGAAGGCCCCCCACCCTTTCCCGGCACAACTGCCTGGCTTACCCCGCCCCGCCCTGCTAGGGTTTGCATGCCCTCTCCCAGGGCTGGCCCCACGGTGACACGGCACCTCCCTGTGAGGTCCTGTGCGTGCATGCCCCCTCCCCTGCTCTAGGGCCTCGCAGCCCTCCTAATGATTTGCACAGCATCACCCCCATCTCCTGCACTGCCCCTCCCCCGTTTTGCAAACTCCGGATCCCTGCTTTACCCAGCCCTCCACGCGCACCTCGGCCTCCCTACCTTGGAAATGCATCCTCTTCCCACAGGTTTGCGCATGCCCAGCCCCAACCCTGCAGCTGCAGGCCTCCTGGGCGTGCGTGCTCCCCGGCCTGGGGTGTCCATCCCTGCCCCAGTTTGGCAGAGCTACCTTCTTGGCGTTTGCACACTTCTCCCAGGTCTTTGCACACCTACCTAGGACCCCAGCTCCTACCCTTGACTTGCATACCCTCCAGGGTTAGCTTCGCCCTCACCCCCGCCACCCCACCCCGACGTCTGCAGCGCTCTCTGCTCACAGCCCACTTTCCACCCACTCGCTGCTCCCACAGCCTACGGGAAGGTGTTCCTGGTGCGGAAGGCGGGCGGGCACGACGCGGGAAAGCTGTACGCTATGAAGGTGCTACGCAAGGCAGCGCTGGTGCAGCGCGCCAAGACGCAGGAGCACACGCGCACTGAGCGCTCTGTGCTGGAGCTGGTGCGCCAGGCGCCCTTCCTGGTCACGCTGCACTATGCCTTCCAGACTGACGCCAAGCTGCACCTCATCCTGGGTAAGGCCCCCCGGGCTGGAGTGGGGGCTGGTATAGTCACCCCAACGAGGCTCTCTCTGATCCCCTCTGCCTGCCCCCCACCCCAGACTATGTGAGCGGCGGGGAGATGTTCACCCACCTCTACCAGCGCCAGCACTTCAAGGAGGCTGAGGTGCGCGTGTACGGGGGCGAGATTGCGCTGGCCCTGGAGCACCTGCACAAGGTGGGCGAGGCCCCAGCCACCTGTGATGGTTGCCCTTGTGGAAGGTCTGGGTCTGGTAACAGGTCCCAAAGGGGACGCTCCAGAAATGCCCTGGAGCGGGGTGCCTCCACTGCTTCTCGGGCCGCAAGGAAGAAAGGCCTTAGCACAGCCTGCAAGGGCGAGTTCTCTCTCCACCAAGGGGCTTTCCTCTTACGGGGTGCTCGCCCTGAACTTCCTCAATCCCCAACCTCAAGGGCTCCGTACCAGGCTCGCTGGGGTTATTCCCTATAGCCTCTCCTTGCTTTGCTTCTTAGACTGGTTCTGATGCTGACCTGCTCCTATCTCTGGGGTTGCTCTGCATGCAGGGGGTCTTGCTCAGGGACTTCCTTCTGGGCGCCTCCTTGTCCGGAGGGAGCCTCATGGGGACGCGGGTGGGGTGCTGGACCCTAGAGGCCAGGGCAAGACACTCAGAAGCCTTCTCGCCCTGCCAGCTGGGCATCGTCTACCGAGACCTGAAGTTGGAGAACGTGCTGCTGGACTCAGAGGGCCACATCGTGCTCACTGACTTCGGGCTGAGCAAGGAGTTTCTGACAGAGGAGGTGAGGGTGGCTCTGGGATCCACCTGCAAGATCCTCGACCCCGGAGCTGCCTGCAGGAGGCTCACACTGCCCGCACCCCTGCGCACATGCGCACGCGCACACACAAGGGCAGCCTCGGATGCCTAATGGCGCCCTTTCGCTCTGACAGAAAGAACGCACCTTCTCCTTCTGCGGTACCATCGAGTATATGGCCCCCGAAATCATCCGCAGCAAGGCGGGCCACGGCAAGGTGGGCTGGCGGCTGCAGGAGCGGTGGGGGCCCCCCCGCGGTGGTGGGGCAGGCGGCCCTGCAGGGCCTGACGCTGGGCGCGCCTCCCCCATAGGCGGTGGACTGGTGGAGTCTGGGCATCCTGCTCTTCGAGCTGCTGACCGGGGCCTCGCCTTTCACGCTGGAGGGGGAGAGGAACACGCAGGCCGAGGTGTCCCGGTGAGGAAGGCTAGACGTGGCGGTGGCCGAGGGCCGGGGGCCTGCCTGGGCAGAGCTGTGGTGGTGGTGGGGAGGGGGCTCGCCGCCCCTGACGCCCCCCCCAATCCTCCCAGACGGATCCTGAAGTGCTCCCCTCCCTTCCCCCCTCGGATCGGGCCTGTGGCGCAGGACCTGCTGCGGCGGCTGCTTTGCAAGGACCCCAAGAAGCGGCTGGGGGCGGGGCCCCAGGGGGCACAGGAAGTCAAGAACCACCCCTTCTTCCAGGTGAGGGTCAGCCTCTGGGTCCCCTAGGCAAGCCTTGGCCCAGGAGGGAGGGGCTGAGCCTGGCCACTGGCCCCTGATTTCACACACACACACACACACACCTGGAGTCATCCTGTCACACATTCCCATTGGGATACTACAGGTCCCCCTCCCAAGGAGAGAAATTTCAGGCCTTGGCGTCTGGGCAGTAGGGACCTGGCAATGGGTCAACCAGTCCTCCCCCTGGGCAGGATTAGGGGAGGGGAGGGAGTGCTCCTGAGAGCACAGAAAATGACGTCCAGTGGTTGGCACAGAGCCCAGGTGTCCTTGGGGTCCAAGCCAGTCATACAAATGACACCCCCCGCCCTGTGCGCCCCCCGGTTTCAGTTTGTTTTTGGGCAGGCTGAGTCCCCTCCACTCAGATGGCCAGCATGGAACCCATGTGGGTCTCTGCTCACTCTTTCAGACAGAGAGCCGCCTCCCTGTGAGCCTGCACTGGCTCCTATAGGCTTCCTCAGGTACTGCGCCCCACTGGCGCCCAGCGGGCGGAACCCTGTGCCCCTCCACGGTGTGCTAGCCCCTGGCCTGCGTTTCTCCACGTAACCCTCAGAGCCCCTCACCGCTGTAGGTGAGGAAGCCTATGCTGCCACCCCTGCGGTTCTGACCCCATGGCTCAGAGCAGAACGCTCCCAAGGTCTCTCAGCTATCTCAGCTTGCTCCTGGGAAGCAGCTGGTGGGTTTGACCTCTGACCTTCCGGTTAACAGCTCAAGAGGTTCAGGTAGAAGAGGTTGTTGGCTCCAGCTCACCGAGTCCTGAAGGGATGGGGCTTAGATTCAAAGCCAGGATGAAGGGCTGGCAGGTTGTGGGCAGGGGTGGGGAACCGTGTTTGGAGGTTGGCAGCCTCGTTCGAGGGCCATCGTTAACCTCCCCTCAGGTGATGGCGTGGAGGGGTTCGGAGCCCCCAGTGGCTCCGAGGGAGAAAGTCGGGCCTTTCTATTCCAGTAAAGAGTTGCGTTTTGGGAAACTGGCAGGGGCAGTTCCACCCTGTCCATGAGTCAGGATCGACTCGGCGGCAGTGGGTTTGGTTGGGATTGTTTGGAAGGCTTCTCTCTGGCCAGGGGTGGGATGGTAGCTGCTACTGATGCCCTGGACTGGGGGCTGTGCCCTTCAAGACTGCGGTCCTCTGTCGGTATCCGATTTGCCATTGGTCTGCCAGGATAACCAAGCGCCCTTTGATGGGCACGTGTATGAGGCCCCTAAGGCGCCCTGGTGCAGTGCTGCGGGCTGGCCCTTGGGTTTGGGTTGCTGGGTTCCTGGGGGCGTAAATGATTTGTACTTGGCTACTGACCTTGTGGGATCCCCCTCAGTGTTGCTGGGAAGGAACGACAAGGGTGATCAGAGCCCAGGGAATGTGCTGGAGCAGTCCTTCCTAGTCCATAACACACGGGGGCGCCCTGGGTCAGGCGGACTTGACGCTAAGTGGTGTGGACCGGTTGTTATTAGGGGCCAGGTGCCGCGCTTCCTACATTTCCAGGACCACCTCCTTGAGTGTCCCCAACCATACCAGCCAGAAGGGGCCTAGCAATGCTGTGTCAGACAGGGATCCCGTCTGCAGGGTGGGAAGAGAGGAAGTGGTGAGGGGTGTCGAGTTCCTTCAGTCAGTTCCCTAAACCTCCCCTGAATGCCTGTCAAGCTCTCTGCTGGGTGCTGGCAGCAGGCTGACCTGTCCCCCCCCCCCATCCCCCCCAGAGGGACTCCAAGGCCTTCACGCTTTGACGCTGGGCAGGGGTCTTGCTCTCAATTCTGCCGTCTCTCTGGGGGGAGCACTTCTGAGACCTCTGGCCCTGGCGGCAGAACCGGGGGATCTTTAAGTCTGTCTCAGGCCTCCTGGCTTTAAGGGATACAAAATCTAGCTCGAAATGGTGGGGTCGGTTGGGATAGGATTTGGCTGCGAATAACAGGCCACTGGGATGAACAGTGGCTTCCACAACAGCAGAAGAGGTTGATGATTCTTTTGTCTCACATCAAGGCCAGGGCTGCCGTGGTCTCCTTGGGACTCCACGTTCCTTTTTTTCCCTCTCTGGTGCTTCTCCATTCTTAGCACGGAGGCGGAATCTCCAGCCTTGCCTCATGGCCCAAGAGGGCTGCTGGAGCTCTGGCCATTTAGGTTACTCGCCAGGCAGGAAGCAGGAGGAAGAAGGATGGAAAGGACAAAGAAGGCACTTGGCAGCTGTCCGTCCGTCCCCCCCCCCCTCCCGCTTTTGAGGCTCTTTCTCTGGAGTCCTATCATTTTGCCTTACACGTGACTGGTCATCCATCCCTCACTGCAAGGAAGTTCAGACAAGATTATCTTTTGGTTGGGTTGATGGCTCCTTGGGGCACAATGGGTGTTATGTTGCTCAGGAAGACAGGGAGATTGGGTGCTGGACTGCAATGAGCAGACTGTCACACTGACTGACACTGAAAGGGTGTCCTGGTAGCATAGCACAGTTTGCGACCACCAGCTCCAAGGGAGAAAGACCCAGCTTTCTAGTCCCATAAAGAGCTGCAGTCTCAGAAGCCCACAGGGGCAGTTCTACCCTGCCCTATAGGGTCACTGTGAGGCAGGCAGGGAGTTTGTTTTTGTTTAGCGTTTTTGGCTCCCATACATGAAAGCTCCAAGGGATGGGATCCGGCTTCAGGCAAGGCTGCATCCAGGTGCTCAAACTGTGTCTTTAGGAATCTCATGGTCTCTCAGTTCTGCTTTGCTTCAAGGGGCTTTTACCCTAGACCCCGAGGTTCCCCTAGGGGTTCCAGGTTTACATCCTCCCAGATAGCAAAGAGGGGTGTATTTTGCATACTAATCCTCTGAAAAGTCTCAAGTGACCAAGCCTGGTGGAATGCTGCTTCTCCCAGGGAACACAGGACCCTGTTACCCAAAAGAGGGGAACGGAAGTCCGGGAGAGCAGCGTCCTCCCTCGCCCAGGAGTTGCACAGCAAGGCTGATCTGTGTGCAGTTCCCATCCTTAACCCCCACCTCCAATTCCCTTTTCCCCAGGGCCTGGATTGGGCTGCTTTGGCAGCCAGGAAGATTCCGGCCCCATTCCGGCCCCAGATTCGCTCGGAGCTGGACGTGGGCAACTTCGCGGAGGAATTTACGAAGCTAGATCCGGTCTACTCGCCCTCAGGCAGCCCTCCCCCTGGGGATTCACGCATCTTCCAGGTGAGGGTGAGCTCAGGAGGACACAGGTGCAGGAGGACACAGGTACCCTGGATGACCTGTGGGTACCACACAGGCACAGTGTCCAGCCAAGACTCAGCATCCCCTGGCCCAGGCTCTACCCTGTCTCAGAATTTCATTGCTAAAACAAAAAACAAACACCCTGCCTACCTCCCACCCCATGGCTGTCTAGTGGACTAGAACTGCCCCATATGGTTTCCAAGCCTGTATGTAAATCTTTACAGAAGCAGACTACCACATCTGATCCTGTGGAGTGGCTGGTGGGTTTGAACTGCTAACCTTTTTGGTTAGCAGCCAAGCGCTTACATATGGTGCCACCAGGGCAAATCCTGACCCAGCTTTCTTGCCAAATGTCTATGCAGCACTCCTCATAGCCCTGGCCCTTCCACCCCAGCTCCTCTTCTTCTCTGTAGTAGCAGAGGGGTCTCCTAACACACAAGCCAGTGAGTGCCCTCCCCTCCTCAGTCTTTAGGCTCCGCCTCCCAAGCCTTCCTAGGGAGACAAGTTCTCACTGGTGCCTGGAGCTGTCATTCACAGACCCAGCTACCCAAGGACATGGCTTTGAACTCAAGCGTTCCATTACACGTTGTGTAAATTTCCCTCTAGCCATCCGATCTCTTTGTTGTTATGTAAAAACATCCCTTTAAATCATCCAGGCGCTAAATGCGGTCTGCTGGGATGCTGCGCACACCCACCCCTTGGCAGGCCAGCCGATGTGCCCTCCCACAGTGGTAGAAGTCCAGGCCTGCTGGACAATCCCTTTGCTCAGGACTCGGGGTCCCGAGGGGGCCCTGGCTCAGAGCCCTAGTCTCAATGCTCAAACCTCTCCCACTTGCTGCCTCAGCGGCATTGACCTGCTCAGAGCTCCCAGTGTATAGCTCAGGGCCTTTGATCATGCTTAGTGGTCCACTGGGCTAGCTTCTCTCAGGTCTGGTGTCCAGCGCTGCACCCCCCCCCCCCCCCCCCCCCCCCCCACCCCCCCCCCCCCCCCCCCCCCCCCCCACTCTAGGCAGCCTTCCCTGCTCCCCCGCCCTCCCTGGTTCCCCTGCCTCTTCTCAGGTGGCCCAGCCCTTTGCAGCTGACACCCCCTGAGCACGTTGAATCCTGACAACTCAATCGAGACTCCTCCCACTGGTCCAGACGTTTCCAGAGGGCAGGGAGTGTGTGTGTAATGTCTCTGTCCCCAAGTCCGGCGGAGGGTCCCGAAATGTCCCATTCATGTACAACAAGAATAGATCAGTGTCTACTATGACGTGACGTATCTCCTCGACGCACTTAGAGGTGACAGGTCTATTTGGGGGTCCCTCATCCCCTGTCACACACAAGGAGAAAGCTCTTTCTTGTGAACTGACCCTTGTCACTTCCATTTGCCCACCTGATGATTCAGGACGTCTCACCGTATGCCAGGCTCAAACCTGGCCAGTGGGGACGTAGCAGTGAGCCAACCAGATAACGATGCCACCTGGGGGGCGGGGGCTGTGTCTGGTGCACAGCAGGGATGCATTTTTTTTTCCTGGAGAAAACAACACCTTGGTTAAAATTAAGATGAGCCCTGGTGCCATAGTGGTTACCTACTGGGCAGCTAACCGCCAAGGTCAGCGGTTCGAAATCGCCAGAGACTCCTTGGGAGAAAGAGAGGCTTTCTATTCCCATAAAGAGTTACAGTCTCGGAAACCCACAGGGACACTTCTACCCTGTCCTATGGGGTCGCTGTGAGTTGGTGTCTACTCGGTGGCAGTGAGGTGGGGGAGGAGTTCGAAGTACCTTGGGAAATCCAGCGACCAGGACAGGAATCTTCCAGAAGGTTAGAGATTCCCTTTGGGAGTCTCTTTGCCCTTCCTTGAGAGGAGGCCGGAGCGAGATTTCAAGGGGGGCAGGGTTTTCTGCTCAGGGGCCAGAGAAGACTCTTCCAAGGTAAGCGAGTACCCTGTCAGGTCTCAGGGCTTCCCTGCACCCTGGCACCCCATCCATCATTCCCCGTGCATGCCAGGCCCTGCCCAGGGGCCCTGGTGGGAAAGCAGGAAGTACAACCTGGTGAGAACGGGTGTGGACAACAAGTTTTTACAGCGGGAGGTAGAATAAGAGGTGCCCATCACTCCTGTGTGACCCAGACACCCCACGGGGAACCCCAGCCCCCTGCTGCCCATCCACCCTCCCCCTCCCCCACAGGGGTACTCCTTCGTAGCGCCGTCCATCCTGTTTGACCATAACAACGCGGTGATGACCGATGTGCTGGCGGCACCCGGAGCTGGAGAGCGGCCCGGCCGGGCAGCCGTGGCCAGGAGCGCCATGATGCAGGTGGGCAGGACCAGGGTGGGGGTGGGGCAGCTGTGCTAGGGGTCATGACTTGAGGTGTGACCTCAGTAAAGGCCCAAGCCCCTCTTAAGTGCCTCCCCCACCCCACACGCTAATGCGCCCTTTTGCCTCCAGGACTCGCCCTTCTTCCAGAAGTACGAGCTGGACCTGCGGGAGCCCGCGCTGGGCCAGGGCGGCTTCTCCGTGTGTCGCCGCTGCAGCCAGCGCCAGAGCGGCCAAGAGTTCGCGGTCAAGATCCTCAGCCGCAGGTGGGCAGGGCTTGGCAGAGCGGGGTCGGGGGAGCGTGGGGGAGGGGGTTCGGTGGCCCTGACCGCGGCCGGCCTGCCCCTCAGGCTGGAGGCCAGCACGCAGCGCGAGCTGACGGCCCTGCGCCTGTGCCAGTCACACCCTAACGTGGTGAAGCTGCACGAGGTGCATCAGGACCAGGTAAGTAACACCTTATGGGGCGGGGTGCAGGGCGCGACCCAAGAGGCGAGGTGCGGGTCGGGGACGCCGTGGCGGCCAGGAGGTGGAAGTGGGATCGGAGGGAAGAAGGGTTGAAAGCGGTGCCCAAGGGAATGGAATTCGAGGTGCACACGGGGTAGGATTTGCTAGGGATGGGGGTTGACGGAGGCCAGGGGCGGGGCTTGGAAAACTGACCTACAGGCTTGCGGATTTTCTTTGGGGTGGTGGCGCGTGAGCCCCGAGGCCAGGGTTTGGGGGCCGAAGGAAGAGGGTGGGGGCAGTATGCGGCTTGAGGGGGCGGGACCCGG